CCTTCCTTCCTTCCTTCCTTCCTTCCTTCCTTCCTTCCTTCCTTCCTTTCTGTTTATTTATTTTCTGCTCTTGTTGTCTAGGCTAGAGTGCAATGGCGAGATCTCCGCTCACCACAACCTCCACTTCCTTGGTTCAAGCGATTCTCCTGCCTCAGCCTCCCGAGTAGCTTGGGATTACAGGTGTGCACCATGCCCAGGTAATTTTGTATTTTTGGTAGAGATGGCGTTTCTCCATATTGGTCAGGCTGGTCTCGAACTCCCGACTTTGGGTGATCCGCCCGCCTCAACCTCCCAAAGTGTTGGGATTACAGGCATAAGCCACTGCACCTAGCCGACTTTTAAACCAGGTAAGTTATTTTGCAAAACTGCAAGCAAGTCAAAAAGGGGAAAGACACTAAAACTGAACACAGAAATAAATAAACCTTTCAGTGTATAAAATAGGTAACAGATAAAACAGTATTTTCAAGGAAGCTTGAAAATGATGCTTTCAGTATAGATCCCAAGTGTGATATTTTATAGATGCAAAAAAATGTGCAAAGAATTTTTTAAAACTGTACTCAGTGAATTTATTGTTAGTAGTCATGTCGATATTATGATTTTGAAACTTTTATATCTATTTTAAGATAAAATCCAGTAAATAAACAGGTCAATGTTGAAGAAAACAAGGCCTCTAATCTATGAGAAGATATATAAGTAAAAACACTTCAGTTTTAAATATGAATTGGAAATATATGTGTGTGTGCAGAATTGAATTAAGATAGACTCTTTAGTTGTGTAGTAGTCTACCTTAATCCAAATATCTATGTATGTGACATTTCTCTCAGTCATATAAATCTGTGGAAAACTCAGAGATTACAAAAGATAACTTATATAAAAACATGCTCTTCTCATTTTGTTAAGATATACATCCAATTCAACATTTTTGTATGCAAATTTTTTAAATCAGCAAATACACGCTTACTGTAAAATGGTCAAAAAGTATAGGACTGATAAAATGTGAATATTTCCACTTTCATGCTATAGATTTCATTCCTCACGATAAAAGCATTGGGAATTCTGTTTGTATCCTTACAAATCTTTCTGCAGATAATAACTGTTTTTAGAAACAAAGAAAAACCATGCCACAGTCCCATATTGTATCTAACACTGACATTCGTCCTTGCGAAATGTTCTGTGCCTTCTTTGCTATGCCTTCCTTAGTTACAGGAGAAGAACCACGAGGTCACTGCCTATGAGATGGCCATGACCCACTTGTCCAGCTGACACTTCTGAAACCCCTGTTTGCAAGGAAGCTCCCCTGGAGTGCAGGTGCTGATGTGGTTCCTAGCTCTGCACCTTCAGAAGCGCAGCCTGCCCCCTGCCCTCATCACTTGCCCGACCTTTGCACCCTCAGAGGAGTAACCCTGTCAGCACATTCCGCATCTCCTGCCCTCGTGCCATATTGGTCCCTTGAAAGCATCTAAAAACAACATGGTAAAGCCTGTCACATTAAGTTCGTGTTCATTTCTTCATTAAACATATAAAATACCTGTTACATTAGTGACGGGTGCTAGACTGCAGGAGGAACAGGGGCCGGTGCTTGTGACAGAGGCACCGCCAGAATGTCCTGCATGCTCAAGTGAAGGTTGGTGCAGAGCTGAGGGCCTTGGGTATGGTGGGTGGGCAGGAAGGACCCCACTTGCCCAAGCACCCACCCTGGGATCCCGGGCAGGGAAGCAGGATGTGACTGTCTGTGGAAGATGGGAGAAGCGTGGCTGGCACGGAGAGGGGTGGTTTTCCTGGTCCCTGGTGAGTGCAAGTGGCCATGACAGATGTGCTCCCAAGAGAAGCAGCAGAAAGCGTGCCTTTCCGTGCTGCCCCCAGACTCAGAGCTATGACCATGAGCTTGCACTGGACTTCCGTCCTGGCCTGGCTGGAGCAGAAAATGGTGACATTCCCAATGGGGCTGCGCAGCTTCCTCTGTTGCTCGCTAGCTTGGTGCCCCTTCCAGAGCCCTGGTCCCAAACGCTCCTCCTGCTTCTTTCATTTCGAAACAAGCTTGGAACTCATTGACCACAGGGAGCTGCCTCCGAAGTGAGTGTGACCCTCACAATGGCTTCCCGTTCCAACAAAGATCAGACTTGACGTGAAAAGAGGCTCTAAAGGAGAATCGCGGACCCAGAAAGAAGAACGTGAGAATTAGAGAAGATTGAAGTCAGGGATACTCCGGTGCTGATTATAGGCAAGTTTTAAAATTCCTTATTATGATTTGGATCAATTAAGACCATTTTACGGATAAACTTATGATAGAACTTGTTTTTAAAACACATGCTTTCTTACATTGTCAGATTCTCACTCAAAGGAAAATGAATGAGCCAGATTGTCGCTCAGCCCCCAAAAAACAAAATAAAAGCAGGTCCTGCTATCAAATGGAAATGATGATATTATACCACCTGATAGTAGCTGCAATAGCCGTGGGCCACCTCCCTGAGGCCTGTCCCCAGAGACCTGCACACCTGGACATTCCAGAAAAGTCAAGCGTACATGCACCCCACACATATACACGTGTGTGCAGTCATACACAGCCTGCCCTGCACACCAGCATGTACACACGTACACACACACGTGCATGTAGACTCACAGGCAGGCCTAATGACTGTGTACACAGCAAAGAGGATACTATCAGAGAGAACTTTCGGTGAGGTCTCTGTGTCAACAGAGTAACAATTTGGACACAAATTAAACAAAACTCAAGTATATGTTCCAACTAAAGTAAAAACAATATACCCTAATAGAAACACTGGAGGCGTCTCTGCACCTCAGGAGGACAGGGGTCTCCCAGATCTCCCCTTTAGCCTGGGACCCAAGCATGCACAGGAGGAAGTCCCAGCCAGTGCTAACAGGAGGCCAAGGTTGTCCCACACCTCTCGCCTGATGTTGCCTTCTTTGGAGAGGAGGCCAGGAGTGGGGACACTGGCTAAGGATCTGGAGAGATCAGTCCTGTGTCTGCTGAACAGATGCTGGGGCCATTCAGCAAAAGACTAGGAGAGGTTGTTGGCAATTTCAGAGAGCACTCTTCTGCAAGTACGGTCCAGTGTCAGCAGTGGGATGTGGGTGCTGCAGCGGCCGGAGCAGAAACAGTTCTCTAAGGTTTCACTGCTTTTGACGATGCATTCCATAAAGAGATTTAGAATGTTCCTAAACACCGCAAAGAATGTCCAGCAAAGGACGCAGGGCAGGGTGGTTGTGGGGAGCAAAGTCACCCACAGGTACGCAGCGGAGCCACGGGTGGCAATGGGGTGGCAAATGCAACACCTGTGCCAGGGCCTCCTAGGGTGGCCGCCTGGCTTGCTGTGCTCCCCCTGAGCCTGAGGGGCCTCGACTTCCCGTTGACCGTAACACTCCTGAAAGAGGAAGCAAGACAAAGCCAGAACACTGGCCTGGATGTCATTCGGAGAATTTGAAAAACAGAAGTGGAGGGTCTGGGTGAACAGAGGCATAACCACCCCCCACCGTCCACGTGCACTGGCCAGATTGTCGCCCAGAGCCACAGCTGCAACTGCTCTCCAGAGGCCATTGGTGAACTCCGGGAAGGGACAAGATACATCCTGGGGCTGTGGGTCCTCAGGGTGACAATACCATTGCAACTTCGAGTCACTCTCCTCAGCCCTCACCTTCCAAAATGGGAAGCCAATAATAAATTAATTAATTAATTTCAGACATCGATCAGGTCAACAAAGGAAAGCGTAAGATTATTACTTTATAACATGAGAGTGAATGCTAAAAAAAAAAAAAAAAAAAAAAAAGTCAGAATAACTGCAAATGCTGCCTGTAAGAACCAGGATTTTAAGCTGCAGATGGCAGGACAGGAAATTATACATTATACTAAGCATTTTAGAACTACTTATCCATTTTAACAGTTTTCTAAATGTATATGTTACTTAGAAAAATAAATATTTGTATACGTGTAATTTCTTATGTATGCATATAAAGAGCTTTCTAAACACTGCGGTAGTTGCTGTGTCTTCCTCTTTTTCTTCTTCCTTTTCCTTTCTTCCTTTCTCGCCTTCCTTTTCCTCCTTTATTTTCTTCCTTTCCTCCCTCCCTTCCTTCCTTCATTCCTTCCCTCCTTCTTCCTTCAATTTTTCTCTTTTTTATTCCTTCCTTTTTCCTTCTTCCTCTTTTTTATCTCTCCTCTCTTCCTCCTTCCCTCCCTTTCTTCTTTCCAGCTTAGAGCTGGGAGGAGGGGCCCAGCCTCCTGCTCCCTCCCCTTCCTCTGCCTATAACAAGGTCTAGTCTCCTTCTAAAACCGACAAAGCCCTCCCCTGTGGTTGCCCAGTGCTGTTCCCTTGTGCGGATAAACCACACTCTGCTTAGTCATCCTTGGGCAGGCAGACACTCTTCACTCTCCAGCTATTGCAAAGAAAGCCACTAGCAGTGAAACTCAGAAACAGTATCTTCAGCAGAGGAGGCCAGACACAAGACTTCCAAAGTATACAGGGTTTCATTCTGGGAAGACAGAAATTTCTAAAATTAGATTGCTGTGAAGGTTGCACTACTCTTTAAATATGCCAAACATCATTGAACTGTACACTTAAAATAGGTAAGTTTTCTGGTATGTTAATTATATCTGAACGACTCTTCTTTTAAAAAGTAAATGAAACTATTTTACCCCCTGCCTAAAGCCTGCCCAGGATATCTGGGCTGATTCTGGGTTTTGTCTGTTACAAATAAAGCTGCTGTGACTGTTGGTATACAGGTTTCTGTGTGAAACAGAAGAGTCTCTGGGACCAACAGCCATGAAGGCAATTGCTGGGTTGTATGGTAGTTGCATCTCCAGTTTTACAAGAAACTTCCAGACTGTTTTCCAGAATGGATATAAGATTTTATATTCCCACCAACAATGTATGAGTGACCTGTTTCTCTGCATTTTTGCAGTATTTGGTATTGCCACTCTTTTTAGATTTTTGCTACTCTGATAGATATATAGATCTCACTGTGGTTTTAATTTGTATTTCCTTGATGATTAAAGAGGTTGAAATCATTGTATGTGCTTTTTATTTTTTATTTTTGGCATCTATATTTTTTCTTTGAAAAACAGAAAATGCATTTGTGTTTTCCCCCTAAATTCTAATTGGTTTGTGGTTCTGTTTTGTTTGTTTGTTTGTTTTTTGTTTTTTTTTTTGTCTCTGTTTTACTACTGTGTTTCTTTATATATTGTAAATATGAGTCCTTAATCAGATATGAGGTTTGCAAATATTTTCTCTCCGTCTCTAATACATCTTTTCATTGTCTTAAGGGTCTTTCACACAAGCAAAAGTTTTACATTTTGATGAAGTTCAGTTAATCAAAATTTCGCTTTTATGTATTGTGCTTTTGATATCTGATTTGAAAATTCTGCGGAGCCCTAGGTCCTAAAGACTTTACCCTATTTTTCTCAAGTTTTATAATTTCCCATTGAAGTCTGTGATTCAATTTTGGTTAATTTTTACATAAAGTGAACTTTTTTTTTTTCTTAATGGGTGTCTAATTGCTCCAGCTCCATTTGTTGAAAAGGCCAACTTTTCAACAAAGTTGAAACATTGAATTGTTTTTCTGCCTTTGTCAAAAATAAATGGAGCGTATTTGTGTGGCTCTATTTCTGGGCCTGTCGGTCCACCAACACCACCCTGTGTTGATTACTATAGCCATATAAATATCTAGAAATTGGATGAGTTGATTTATCCCACTGGATTCTTCTGTTTCAAATTGTTTTAACTATTCTAAGGCCCATGCCTTTCCATATATATTTTAGAATAAACTTGTCTATGTCTACAAAACCTTGCTGGGATCTAATTTGCTTTTAAAATAAGATATCTATAACTGTTTTCCACTTTTTTTTTTACTGAAAATATTATTAAAGTTTAGTTTGCTTTTATTAAACTTTCTTTTTCCCCAAATTTCAGCATGCATTCATTCATTCCCTCAACTATCTGTATTGAGCACCCACTCTGTGCTGGGAGCTGTGGAGGTTCTTTGGGATAGAACAATAAAAATACATGTCTGCTTTTCTCAAGGAACACATGGTTTTGGATTGTTAATGAAAAAATTTATTTTACTAACTAAATATTATTTTGAAGGTACGTATCTATTTACTGAACCCTAAAATTTAACCTACACAACTGTTCTTGCTTTGTCCTTGGGAGCCTGTGCTGCTGAAGAATGCCATCAGATGATTTGGGTGGAGCCTGGGTGGTTCACCCTGGTCGTGTCTAGTGACAGCTCTTGATGGGGCAGGTGGCCCGTGGGCAAGTGTTCCTGTCATTCTTGTTTACCTCCTTCATCACCCTGCCATGCCTTTTAGAAATAAAGAAGAATAACCGAGAGTGAGTCATTCATTCTTTCTCACATACGTTCATTTAATCAATGTTTGTCGAGTGCCCCCAACATGCCAGGCGTGGAGTCAGGGGTTGGGCTGAGGCCAGAGAGCCATCCCAACAGGAACCTACAGCTCTGGCAGTGGCTGCTGCAGAGCTTTGGGAGCCTCCTGGGCCTCCGCTGACCTCCAAGGGAGAAATAAATGCAAAGCCTACAGGAGGAAGCCACCTGGAGAGCCCCAGCCTGGCGGGGAGCTTGGGTGCAGGCAGAAAGGCAAGGGGTGCAAACACATCACCTTCTAACTACTGACCAGGCCTGGGGCACATCAGTAGAGGGAGGGCTGGACTTGTGTCGCTTCCCAGGAAACAACAGTCTCCTCCCTGACCAGATCTGAACACAGCAAGGAACAGAATCAAATACACAGACCTCGTGTCCCAGATTGTTTGCACTGCTATAAAGGAATACCTGCGACTGGTAATTTATAAAGAAAAAATGTTTATTTTGGTTGACGGTTTTCAGGCTGTACAGGAAGTGTGGTGCCTGCATCTGCTTCTGGTGAGGCCTCCAGAAGTTTCCAATCACAGCAGAAGGCAATGGGGGATCAGGCATGTCACAGGGTGAGAGTGGGAACAAGAGAGAGAAGAAGGAGTCCCAGCTCTCCCATGAATTCATGACCACTCATTACTGTGCCAAGCAGTTCATGAGGACTTTGCATCCATGACCTCGACACCTCCCACGAGGCCCACCTCTAATACTGGAGGCTACTCTGCATCCATGACCTCGACACCTCCCATGAGGCCCATCTCTAATCCTGGAGGCCACATTTCAGCATGAGATTTGGAGGGAACACACATCCAAACACATCACCTTCTAACTACTGACCAAGGCCAGCCCCGAAGGCCTCCCACTGTGCTGGGGCTCTCAGCGGATTTGTTTTTGCAAAGATCCAGCTTCTTCTGGCCACAGTGAAGAGAACTAGGCAGAACTGGTTGTTTCTGGAAGGAGCGTAAGGGCCAGAAAGGTCCTGTGTTCTATGCAGAGAGTGAGAGGAGATGTGGAAGGGGAAAGGGCCTGCCAGGAACCTGGAGTCCAGCTGAGCACCGAAGGCCAACCTTCCCCTCTGCCTCCGACTGCCCTTTTCCTTTCCAGGCTATATTCTTTATACCACAAAGACTCTGGAATGAGAGAAAATGTCAAATAGCCCATAGAAGCACATCTTTTTCTGTAGATGCATGCGGGTGATGGCATGCAGCCACACTGTGCCCAGCACACCCAGGCTTGTCCTTTGCCTCAAGAGAGTACCCCTTCCCCTTGTGCACCACCATGAGCAAAGTGGGAACCAGGCCCTGGGCTTAGAGAGGAAGCGGAGGGAGGGCCAGGGCTGGGGCAGCCTCTGCAGGATGCCCAGGACAGGGGCACAAAGACATGTGTGCAAGCGGAATTCGCTTTAAGACTAAATGGCAATTCCAAGATATGTTTGAGTTTTTTAAAAGTGGGGGAATTGAGATGAGAAAAGGAACATTAAAAATATTTTAAGAAAGCTGTTTTATTTAAATGAATTAATCCCAAATTACCACATTATACTTCAATGCATATGACATTTTAATAAAAAGCTACTAGTTTTGTCAGAATATAAAATATTTCATCCGATGAAAAAAGAGTAATATAAACCCATGTAACCAGTATTCCAAGGTAAGAATTGTTTAGATTTTGCAACTGTTACTTCAGATCTATTTTTCAGAAATAAAACATGACTAACAGAGTTTAAGTCCTCCTCCCATGCCCACTCTCCCTCTTTAAAGATTCCGCAGGCCTGACATGTGTGGGAGACTTTTGTTCCCATGGTAATGCTGCTGCTCCCCCACCCCCATGCCTGTAGACACCACAAAATATTGCTGTTTGTTTTTAAATTCCATTGTCAGCATCACCTTTCTGTATCCCCGCCCCCAAGGTTACACTTTTAGGAGGCACTCAAGTTGGTACAAGTAGAATGACTTCATCCCCTTTCGCCGCAGGGGACATTCTGTTCGGTGAAATATGCCACGAATTCTTTATCCAGGCTTGGAGTGGAGGCCTTGGAGGGGGCTTCCAGTCCTGCACTCCTGCAAACCATGCTCCAGGGCTGCCTCGTCCGTCCCCGCTTCCGCAGCACCTGTGTGCTGGGTGCCAGGGAGCAGGCACCTTCTGCTCTCGCAGATGCAGCCAAATGTCTCCCGAATTTCTCTAGAGAAATTTAAGTTGCACCGCAGGAAGAGTTTCAACAGTGCACACTCTAGGCCTTGCTGGGTGTCATCAATGAGTGTGAAGTGGCATCTCCTGTTGCCTAGAGATAGACAACCAGTGAATTTGCGCATTCTCAGGCGTCTCCTCTGCGTGAAGGGCTGCCCCTATCCCTGCCCTTTTATTTCCCTGGGTGCCTCGTCTTCGCCCATTGGCAGTCAGAGTTCCTCCTGGTGCTGTGGAGGAGTCTTTGTTATTTACAGGTAGGGCAAATATCTTCTCTCCCGTTGGGGTTAGCAGTTTATGTTTTGTTCAAGAGACGTTTTTACTTTTAACACACTCGAATGCATCCATTTTTAAAATTTCTGCATTCCCAGTCATATAGATATTAAAAAAAAAAAAAAAAAAAAAAAAA